GCCCCCGACTCGCGCGCGCTCCCGGCACGCCCGCTTGGGCTCGCGCCCGCGGGCACCGGGATCCAAGCCCAGGCGGTTACACTGCTGCTGGGCGCCCGGGTCCGCAACGCCTCGAGGCGCCCGCGGGGAGCGGGGATAGGGGTTGCAGGGCCAGGCGAGCGGGAGAGGAGCTATCGGGTGTCTTCTTCTCCCTCGATGGAGACCGTCCTGTCACCCTCGAATAGACCCAGGAAGGTTTTGGAAAAGGAGCCAAGTCTTCGCGTGGTGAAGCTTGTTTCGGAGGGAGGTGGCTGTAGATCAACCTGTCGCTCCGTCTTGCATCCTGTGCTTCTGTGTTCTTCACTCTCCCTCCTATTCCTACAAACCGCGGGCGCCGGCAGCCGTGCCCCCTACCCACGTGTGACAGAAAGGACAGCCAAAGGGAGAGGGAGACGGACTGTGAATAGAAGGCTCCTTACACCTCACTTCTCATTAAGATGTCGGTGCTTTTTATGTCTGCATTCTTTTCCCCTGGTCCTACCTGGACTCCACGGCAATAGGTCCCACGTTCAAGTCCACCCTCCCACTGCTCAGTTTGTGATGTCCTTGAACTCTGCTGACTCACCTTTCCACCTCCACTACCTAGCACCCACCATATTTATTTTTCACAACGTGGCTCAGATCTCAACTCATCAGTGCAGTTATTCAACAAGCATTTATTGAACTTGTAAGATGTACCAGACCCTGAGCCAGAGGGCCAGTATGTAGAGGTGGGCTTCTTGAAAACTTAATGCCGGAAGTTTAAAGGGATAGTCACTTACAAGACTATGACACATCCAGGGTGCTGAGTGGGGAGACCAAGGGGTCAAGGGTAATAAAGGAGCATAAAGGACATAAACGATGACTGGAGGTAGAGGAGGGAGTCGTGGAAATACGTATCACCTAACGCTAATCCCAGACACTTTCTAGCCTTCATCACATGTCCTCATCTGATGATTTTAAAATATGCACCACTCATGGTCCAAACCATGGGGGAGAAGGCTCAAAAGAGTGTGAAGACTGCTCCTAGAGCAGTTGCGTGTGCAGAAAGTGAAATCCGGGGTGATGTAACTGTAGGACCTAGGACGGTGATCCACTCTAAAGGATGAATTATTGCAGAAGCTGGGCCGATAGTGATTGCTCAAGGTAACCTCATAGAAAAACAGGTGCTTATCATAAATGCTCACCCTGATAATATCACCCCTGAGGCTGAAGATCCAGAACAGAAACCTACGATCATTGGCTGGCTGTTATTCCCAAGCCATGAAAATGGGAGATAATAATGTTATCGAATCAAAAGCATATGGAGGCAGAAATGTAATATTGACAAGTGGGGTTTGCTGCAACCTGAATACGTTTGAAGTCATCCCTGAGAACACAGTGATCTATGGTGCAGACTGCCTTCATCAGGTACAGACTGGGCGACCACAGCCCCAGACACTACTGTTGGATTTCCTGATGAAAATCTTGCCAAACTACCACCACTTAGAGAAGACTATGAAAGGAAGCTCAATTCCAGTTAAGAACTAAGAACAATATATGGCATCAAGATAACAGTTTGTCTTTGACCACTGTCTTTTGAAAGGGCCACAGTGTTCCTGCGCTCTTAGCAGTTTACAGAATACATGTTGACTTTATTTTGTAAAATGGAGTCAGAGGAAGGTAATGGATTATGTAATTTATGTAACTGTCTTTTGTAATTTATATAAAACACATTATTTTCCTATATCCTTGCTCCTTTTCTGAGAATTTACAGGTTTAGTTTATTTTTCTTTTGTCATATAAAATGTTGGCCATGGATTTTAGTTGTATAAAGGACTCCCCATGATAAGAAAGGGCATATTGTTAGAATATACTAGCATATATTGTACTAAATAAAAATGCTAATGATAAGACTTGTAGTGAACATAATTTTAATCGATTTTTCTATTTCTGTTAACTTTCCCAAAATAGATCTTTCCATTTTTATTGCATGACATCTATATTAAAGCTACTGTGTTTATCATCTCCTTTTGCGGCTTTGGAGCTGTTTAAAATTTCAGGTGAAATTTCAGCAGCTCTTGAATTAATTTGACTTAATTTTGTTTCCAAAAAAGTTCTTTTAATTTTCATTTTAGTAAAACAGAAATAATTAGGGGAAGTTGTATTCAGTAGCATACAAAATCAGTAAGAATGATCTCTGATGAAAATGACAAGTAAATGAACATTGAGAGGATAACAAAACTAAAAGAAATCTTGATATATTTATAAACTTATGCCATGATTTTGGCATACTACTAGTGACTGTTGATGTTGTTGTAATTTATCTAATTACATAATGGCAACATATTTAGGATTTTATTATAATTCTAAATTTTAATAATTCAAGTGCGGACATTTGATGGAACATTTTAACTCTTGAATCAATAGGTGTTGGTTAATACTAAGACATTAAATACTAAAATACTTTCTCTTGAAATTAATTGATTAATTAAAATAAAATAATAAAATAATAAAATAAAATATGCACCACTGGACTGTACCCGTTAGAACCAGAACTTGCAAGAAAATCAGGCAGGATGACTGTGGGCTTCAGTGTCATGGTAAGGGCACCATCAGACAAGCCCATCAAGGGTCTCTGGACTCTCCTAACTTTGACTTACACTTTACAATTAGGGCATTTTACTACTCTTTTCAGTGCAGAAGTTAACTTAGAGAAAACTAAGCTGCAAGCCTTGTTATAGGGCAGAGGTGCAAAAAATTTTTTCTCCAATGGCAATGTAAGTCCTATAAAAATACAAATGACCTCTGCTAGGGTCAGAACCTCAGCCAATTTTGTGTCTAATTTAGGAATCTCACCCCAAGAGCTGTCCCTTCCTCCCCTTTGCTTCTTCGGCTGTATACACACCAGTTGCCTGCCTTCTCCTTTGAAGCAGCTTCATATCCGACCAGTTTCTTCATTAATAGAACCCTGACATGTGTGTACTATGTACTGGCATGTATTGATATGTATGTGAATTACATTTCTATTCCATTTTGAACATTATGCTGATGCCTCTCTCCTGGTTCTGTATCTCCACTAAGAAGGTTGTTTTGCTGAGTTTAACTTCTTATAATTTATATAAATTTCCTTCAAAACACAGAGCTAAAACTTTGTGATGCTTTCTTCTCAGTCTGATATCTCTTTTGTGTGCCCTCTGCCTGGTCCTAGATGATGAGTGGCTGCTTGGCATGAGTGGGTAACAAGATGAGGGCTGGCCTGCCAGCCTGTTTCCCTGAATACAAATCATAAGGGCACACAAAGGCTCTGAAAAAGTATCAAGATGAAGAAAACTCTACTACAACAACTCTCAGGTAGGATATGACTTGGGGTTGGAGAAGAAATTCTCTGATCTGTTGTGTGGGGCAGGACTAGACATGCCCCAGGCCTGCTCACCTGCCTCTGATGAGGGAAGACCCAAGAACCTGGGCTTTTGTGTTGTCAAAGGAAGCAAATACAGGAGGGACTAGGCTTGACCTATAGTCCCCTTGCAAATCTCAACTCTCCTCACATGGAGTGTGCATGAATGATGGACATGTATTTCATTTATTCCACAAATGTTTATCTACACCTTCTTTCAGCTAGGCACTCTTGTGGACATTGGGAATAATAGCAATAAAAAAAAAATAGACATAATAGCTGCCCTCTAGATTGAAGTGTAGACTTTAATCCAGTGAGGGGCAAGGGATAATTAGAAATAAATAAATAAATGTGTGTATGTCAAATTAAAAGTTCCAGGAAGAAAAATAAATGACATGAAACATTTAGGAGGTATGGCAGGTATCATTGAAAAGAAGAGTGTCAGGCCAGGCCTCTATGGCAAATTGCCAGGAGCAGAGACCTAAAGAGAGGGAAGAGAACTGAATATGACTATTAATCAAAGGCCCTAAGGCAGGAACAGCTGGGGCCTGGGGAGCTTTCAGACAGAATCAGTGGGACGAGGCCCTGTGGTCCTCTAAATGTGGTGGAACTTGAATTCAAAGACAAAATGGGACCCAGATTGGTAGTCCATTATAAGAATTTGAGGTTTGGTTCTGAAAGAAATGTGATGTTTGAGGATTTTGAGTTGGAAAGTAACATGATCTGGCCTGTGCTTTAAAAGGATCACCCCCTTTTCCGTGTTGAAAACAGACTGCAGCACAGTGGAGAAAGACTAAGGGAAGGGCAGAGACTAGAAGAACAGTGAGGAAACTGACACAATAGTCCAGGCAAGAGGTGGGATGACTTATAATAGGAATGGAAGCGGAGAGAAGTACTTGGATTCTGGCTATAGCTTGACCCTGATGATGGGTATAGCTGTTCTAATAAAAAAAAGATGACAACAAATCTTTAGGGAGTTGTTCAGTACAACACATCTATAGGATACTGACTGAAAAGTTAACAGGGGTCAGATTTAGGAGTCCTGTTCTAGGTGAATTACAAGAAAGTTGTGACCATTCATGTACACAAAATTATAAGCTCAGCAAACAGCTTAATAATAAAAATGAGGTATGTCTATCTAGACAAGATTGGAGAGGTTTATCTTAAACACCCTCCAAAATGTGTGTGTGAGGAGGGATGATGATGATAATGATTATGATGATGAGTGTGTATTAGAAAATTGACAAGGATGCTAAAAAGTTTTCTGGTGAATCAGTTAACAGCACAAATTTGTAAACCAGATGAAAAAAACAAAAACAAAAACCTTCTTATCTCCCATTTATTCTCCTAAAATCCATTGTCTTTTTTAAAGAAACCTCTTTGTTCTTCCCACAGAAGTTCTTTCCCCAACTCCCTTTCACCTATTAAGTATGTAAAACTCTAACATTAACCATTTAGTAAGCTAGCTACACATTTTGTTAGTTC